TACAAAAGATAAAGCCGTTGCCCACGCTGGCTTGTTGTTGGTACGGTAAATGTTTCACAACAGTAGCTCGCGAACCGGTCCTTAATTGTCATGAGCACAACCATCAAAACCATATGCTCACAACCCACCTTAACCAGGTTTTAATTATCAATTAACATCACACGATTAACCATCGTGAGCGACCATTAAATATAACCATAATTAATAACAATAATATAATATAGTTTATAATTAACCCCTTTAGTTAGCTAAAGTTTCTAAGCATGGCTAAGCAAACATACATATAGCATTTAGCTGAACCAATCCAATATATAAGGTTCATGCTAATCAAATTATAACCCATAGGAAAATAAAGTCATCTTCGGCCATCAATTAATTGGGAAAGGTTCACCACCCGATGACATTCGAAAATAATGCATAAGTTGAAATAAATCATTAGCTTTAAACGGGTTCAACATGCTCAAAGGGTCGTTTGGGATCTGTGTGACTTGCCTTGAGCTTCCGCAAACGCTTCGGAACCTTCCTCAACGGAAACACTTTCCTCCGGAACGTCGGAAACTAAAGCAAAAAGACTAAAATTAACAAAACAGTACAAAAACAAGCATAAACAATACATGTGGATATTTTTAACATGTAGGAATCAATTTTATAAAAATTTAGCAACTTGAACCACCTGAAACGGATCTACGGTTATTTAGTTATGATTTTCCGAAGATTTAATCTATTAGAAAATCGAGAAAAAAAAACCCGATGATGTCATGATGACATCATCAATGGCCGGCTCGGGTTGGCGACCTCGCCGGAGATTGGATGGTCGGCTGCGGTTTTGGAGCACATGTACATGTAGAGGACGACAAGACGAACCCAACGGTACTCACCAACACGGCTAACGACAACCGACGACGGCCGGCGACGAGGTGGGTGGCGGCGGCGGCCGGGTCACGCGGCGGCGGCAGGCTACGGCGGCCGGCGGCGAAGAGGGTGGTGCGGCCGAGCTTCCCCATGGCTTGGCGAAGCCCACGACGGCGACGGCGGACGCGGCTGCGCGGCGGCGCCGGAGATGGCCGGCGACGACGGCAAGCAAAACGGCGGCGGCGACGAAGCTACGGAGCACGGGAAAGCTTGGGGGTTGGGGCAAACGAAAGAGGAGGTCTAGGGGGTCCTATATATAGCCTTGGATTGAAGAGATCGGACTCCTCCCGCAAGAAATCGACTCGGGAAATCAAAAACTCGGTTTTGGAGATAAACTAAAAAACGAGTTCGATTCAGATAAAATACTCAACGATTTGCTCCGATTTTTGGGGTAAAGATAGAGGAGGATGAGAGGATCAAAACCCCTCAAAAATCCGGAATAAAAGAGGAGAGGTTGGGGCGGATTTGGAGGCAGGAGGCGGCGTGGTCGGGCGGCTCGGCCGGCTGGAGCTTGAGGGAGATCCCGACAGGTGGGGCCCACCTATCGGTCTCCACAGGAGAGGGGGGGCGGCACGGCGCCGGCTGGGCCGAACGGGCCGACTTGGCCGCGCGGGTTGAGGAGGAATGTTGGGCCGGATTCGGCCCAACGGCTTAGGGAGGGGTTTTTGAACTTTTTTCAATAAAAATAAATGGTGAAATGTTGTTTCAATTATTAAAAATACTTCCCTTGCTCAAATAATTCCCAGAAAAATCTAGAAAATAGAGGAGCAAGTGTAGTATTTAATAAAATTTTATCTAGCTCATTTTTATGTTGAAAATTTTCCTATATTATTAGGGTTTAGCTTGTAGGCTTTTAATTTAATTTCTAAAAATGACTTAAACAATGTATTTTTAAATCAGACGATTTTTAGGGCGTGACACTTATCCCTTCCAAATCACCTCCAAACCTCCCAACAACATCTCTATCTTTTATCCTATTATTCAAACACAAACATGGGATAAAGTCGCAGGGACCCGCTAACAGTTTTTAAATGGAAAAATAAAATTAGTTGTTCTAGTTCAGGTAAAAGATTTTATAAACTGAAAATGAAAACAAATATTTTTTTCTAAATACATCACCACCCACTATATCTATCAGTTTCACATTATTAGATGTTTTGATATCTTTATCTCTTATCTAAAAAATTCACTAAGATCCATATGAATTTTGACACTATCTCAAGTTTCCTATCACATCTCTAACTCTTATCCTATTAACTAAATACAAACATGGGATATAGTCATAGGGACCCGCTGCGAGTTTTTAAAAGGAAAAATCAATTAGTTGTTCTAATTCAGCTAAACAATTTTATAAGTTAAAATGAAAAGAAATCTTTTTTATTCTAAATACATCACCACCTACTCTATCTAAATGTTTCACGTTATTTGATGTTTTGATATCGTTGTCCTTTATCTAAATTCAATAAGATCCACATGAATTTGGACAGTATCTCAAGTTTCCAATCACATAGATACCTCTTATCCTATTATCCAAATACAAACAAGGGAATATAGTCGTAGGGACCCGTTGACAGTTTTTAAAAGAAAAAAAATCAATTAGTTGTTCTAATTCCGCTAAAAGATTTTATAAGCTGAAAATGAAAATAAATCTTTTTTTTTGTCTAAATACATCCCACCTACTCTATATCTATCTGTTTTATGTTATAAGATATTTTATATATTTATCCTTTATCTATATTAACTAACATCCATATAAATTTGGATATTGTCCTAAGTTCCCAACCACATCTCAATCTCTTATTTTACTACCCAAACACAAAAAAGGATAATGTCGTAGGAACCCGCTGCTAGTTTTTAAAAGAAAAAAAATTAGTTGTCCTAATTCAGGTAAAAGAATTCATTAGCTAAAAATTAAAATAATTCTTTTTTTCTAAATACATCACCACCTACTCTATCTATCTGTTTCATTTTACAAGTTGTTTTAATATTTTCATCTTTATCTAAATTTACTAAAATCCATATGAATTTGGACATCTATATAAGCACATATACAGGGATCTTTGTATGAATGTATACGAAACCCAAATCATCGTAATTCTAATGAAATTAGGCGCCTTTGCTTCAAATAAAATTCATAGGAATTTTAAAGGATTTAATTTCTATAGGAATTTTTCCTATATAGCCCTTTAAATAAAAGGAATGAATTCTATGAAATTCATATAGAATGTCTCTTCCTATGCAAGTTTTGGAGGAAATTTAACATAAGGTAGAACCTCATGGAAAGAATCCTTTGAGTCTTTATCTCTCCTCAAATTTCTATGTTTTTTTTGCGGCCCAATCAAATAGTCATTCATATGTTTTCCCCATGTTTTGGGATCATCTGTTTTACACTTGTATTCCAATTAGAATTCTATGTTTTACTTATTCTTTCTTTTTTTTCATTCCTGTGATCAAAGTGGCCCTCAAAGTTCAATTGATCTCAGTTGATCTAGCAAACGAAAGGAGTTTTCAAGATGCTGAAGAAAGTATCCTCTCTGTCCCATCATGAAAAATGCCAGACATTCATAGTTTTGAACTCCTAGTTAATGAATTATGCATATAACCACAACTACTATATGGAGTATGTACTTTTCATACCACTGCGTTGCAACGGAGCGGGATCTAGTGGACGTGGTCAAATCACATACCACTGCGTTACATACGTATTTTTCTCTCGTTCTTTGCAATGGTTTCAATTTTTTTAGCATTTTAATCCTATATATACTTATATAGTTCATCCCCACTAAGATTGTATTTAAAACCCTAGGTTCTCAACCCCTCTCTCTCGTATTCCGCGTGCACGCTTTTCAAACTGCTAAACGTCGCACTTTTTTTTTAAAGTTTTTATACGAAAGTTGCTTAAAAACATATTGATCTATTTTTTTTAAAAAAAATAGCTAATACTTACTTAAACACGCGCTAATGAACCGCTCTGTTTTCCGTGTACAGGGCATATGTGTTCCCAACCTCTGTACACGAACACAGACTAAGTGTAGTTAATGATATGGGACTGTCTATAGATCATTTGACAGAAAACCCCCTCACAAATCTTGCAAATTTTGGACCACCCGATTGCTTTAAGATTCGTGCAGGCAACCAAACCCTGAAAATCCTCTCCCCTCTCTCTCCCGATTCCTCTCCTCTCCCGATTCCTCACGCGCCGCCGCTCCTCAGCGCCTCCGCCACCGCCACCGCCGCCCCAGCGCGCCGCCGCCCGGCCTCGCCGGCTGGCCGAATGGTGTCAACGGCGCCGGCGAGGCCCCCCGGCCGGCCCCTTCCCCCTCCCCTTCCCCCTCCCTCTCCCTCCTCTCCTTTGCCTCAAGCCGGCAGCGACGAACTGTCCGTCGTCTTCCCCGTCACCGGCGGCGGGGCGCCACCACCGGCCGCCTCCTCCCCACTCTTTTCGCTTTGCCCCCGCCGCCTACACCGGCCCGCCGCAGTCCTCCAGCCCCGCGGCTTCGGCGGCGCCACCGCCGCCTCGCCGCCCGCCCGATCCGCCGCCCACCGCCGGGCTGCCGCCTCCCACAGCTATCCCTCTAAAGCCGGCGAACTCCCCCCTCTTCCCCCTCCCCCTCCCCGCCCCCCCACCCCGGGACCCTAATTCGTCGACCCTCTACCGGAATTTGGGTTCGCCGGCGCCGGAGAAGAAAAGGTGGTCGCCGGAGTTAGAGAAGAAGAGCACGAATCGTGAAGCACATCTAGTGATCCAAAATTTGCAAGATTTGAGGTAGGATTTTCTGTCGACAGAGCTTTAGCAATTCCGTTTTTTTAACAATAAGAAACGTTTACATCCAGGCTTCCGCCATAATGCACACACAATCAATGGAATTAACTATTACAAAGGACATGAATCCATACATACAATATAAGAATCTGAATTAACGTCCAGATGATTCATGAATGCAAACATTTACAGTACAGGAAAGGATTATGTCAGCAGAACTGCAGAAGATGAACTATCTGCAACACAAGCTCTCGATCATTCAGCACAGATGAAGTACTATACCGACCGGAACGGCCGCAAGCCTCTCAATAAAATTTTGGCAAACTCACACGTCGAACCACCGGTGCTGGAGGGCTTGCGCCGCCGTCATCCTCTTCTCCGGGCTGCACCGGAGAAGACCGCTCAACACCTGGTACCCGGCCTTGGATAACTCCGGCCGACGGCCGGGGCCACCGCCCCTCCCGGGTAAGGCGAACATCTGGCGCAGACGGCTGCGCCGCCGTCTAATCTTGGTTAAAATTTTCGGGATCATACAGTCCTCGTAGCCACTCCATCCGCTGATGTCGTCCATGCCAAGAACGTCCGCGATGCGGACGAGCAACTCCTCATCGGTCGTCCCGACGAGCAGGCGCTCGCCGGCGAGGAGCTCCGCCATGATGCAGCCGAGACCCCACGAGTCGACCGTCTCGTCGTAGGTCGTCGACCCGAGGATGACCTCCGGCGGGCGGTACGCCAGCGCGGCGATGGGGTTCGAGTACGGCGGCGCGGACTCCTCCTTGTCCTTGGTCATGGTGCGCGCGAACCCGAGGTCGCAGATCTTGAGGTTGCCGCTGCCGTCGACGAGCACGTTGTCCGGCTTCAGGTCGCGGTGCATGAGCCCCACCTCGTGCATCCCCCTGACGCCGGAGATGAGCTGCCGCATTAGCAGCCGCACGTCGCCCTCGGCGTACCGCCTCGCGGCGGCGTCGTCGCCGCGCTGACGGATGGTGAGGTCCAGTGAGGGGCCCACGAGCTCCATGACGATGTAGTCCTCCTGCCCGGTGGCAGCGCCGGCGCCGCGGCCATGGTCGATAAGCTGCACGATGTGCGGGTGTCCTCGGCACGCCTCGAGGGCGCGGACCTCGCCGGCGAGCACGAGCCCGTCGGGATCGTCGTCCTTCCTCCGGAGGCACTTCACCGCGACGACCTTACCGGTACTGATCTCCACCGCGCGGTACACATTGCCGTAGGTGCCGGAACCTATCCTGGACATCCGCTGGTACCGGCCGCCGATGGGATCGCCGAGGGGCGCCTCCGCCGACGCTGGTGGGGATGGTGCAGAATGCGGTGGCAAGGCGGCGGCCGGAGGATGTGGTGGTGCCCAGTAGCGGTACTGTCGGTGTGCCGAGGCGGTAGGCTTTCGTCGCGCTGGCCGTTTGACGATCGCCATGGCAAGACGCTTGAGTGCGCGCGCCCCTTTCTTCCAAAAGTTTGTCATGTACGTAACATATATGTAATGTGTGGAGGGTGCCGTACTGTTTATATGGAGGTGGGCGGGAGTGCGTGGGAAGTTTGAATAATCCGACACGGATTTGGTTGTTTGGGTTCGACGACGACGATACGGGCATCAAGTCTAATTACCTACTCGGATTAGTAGTAATTAATCAGTTCAGCTCGTAAGTTTAATTTTCAACATCAAATTAAGATGTTTTATGTCACTTGCAGTTATTACGGAGTACTTTTTCATTATCGTTTTGTCATAGACATGGAGACGGATTAGGATTAATAATCAACTGGATTAACTTCAGGAAATCCCGAATTAAATAGCGAGGGATACGCTTTCGTAAGGCGAAAACTTACTTTGTGATTGGTAAACTGTTTTAAACACTCGGGTGGACGTCCACCCGTTTCTTGCATGTCATCGAAATAGTTATGAAATTTTTTTCAAAAAATTGACATGATAGGTTATTATGTAATATATCATCTCACAAATATGCAAGTTCAAATTCAACTTTACAGGTTGTAACAAAAATAACAAATTTGATTGTGAATATATGTATGCTAGTTAGAGTTTAATTTGTTATTTTTTGTTACAACTTATAGAAATCGAATTTGAACTTGCATGTCTGTGAGATAATATATTACATATTAACCTATCTTATATTTATTTTGAAATTTTTTCATAATCATTTAGGTGGCATCCAAAAAATGGGTGGACATCCACCCGAGATTAGATTCCATCTCCCTTTGTGATTTACATTTTTTTACAAACTGTGGGGTGAACATGTCATTGCCTCGCTGTTTTATACTATATAGCATGAACCTAGCTAGGTCTTGTAGCCAATCATATTTAGGTCCTTGAATCCTTGCCACGTCGACCGAACAAAAATGGAGAGAGCGGTCGTCTCGCGCGAGGCTCGGAGCCTTGGATGAGTCCTCCAAGAGAATCACCAACAAAAATGTGTATAACCTACACAAAAATTATGTTATTGGGATTTTAAAAGAAAATAGGAAGTGAAAAAAACTTCTCTCGCACAGAGTCGCGGGAAAGAGAGATTGGGGTCGGTAGGTGTGGCGTCATTCTTCCTCAAATGGAGAGAGCGAAGGATGCGGGGATAGGATATTTGTTGGAGGCATTTTTTCATCAGAATTCCAAAAAAAATTAGGATTAAGAATAGTATAAGGGCACTGTTGGTGGTGCTTTAAGGATTTTGATGGTTGTTACAAACAAATTTCTGCCGTCAATATAACTAAAAGGGGTCGGCAGGTGTGGCGTCGCTCTTCCTCAAATGAAGAGAGCGAAGGATGCGGGGATAGGATATTTGTTGGAGGTATTTTTTCATCAGAATTCCAAAAAAAATAGGATAAGGAATAGTATAAGGGCACTGTTGGTGATGCTCTAAGGATGGATATTGACGGTCGCTACGGACAATTTTCGACCGTCAATATAACTAAAATAATGGAGAATTAGCCATGCTTGCAATGCATATTTATTTCAGAATAATATAGTACCAATTGTAATTGGAGAATAATATATTGCAGAAATTTATCAAAAAAAATAACGAGAAAGTGAAGAAACCTCACTCCAAATCAAGCAAATGGATAAGGAGGGCCCACATGTCAGGTGTAACCGTCCGGAAACCGCTTTAACTGCCAAAACCACCATAGGGACCCACCTGTCAGCCACCCTGCCGAAGCTGGAAGCCTGCTGGGCCGGCCCAGGTTCGGCCGAACCCTGGCGGTGCCTAGTCAACTCAGCCCTCCACGTGGATGCTCCAGATGCTCTCTCAATGATGGTTGCAGGGGCAAAATGGACATTACACATGGCTACAACCGTCATAATTGTCCTATAAAAGGAGGAGCTCATTCACTCTCTCAACGCACTCAAGCAAGCTCAAGTTTCCTCTCATACTTTATTTTAATAGTTTTAGTGCTAAGTGGAAGTAGTATAGAATAGTTCTCAGAGTCCTCGGAGCTTCCGGAGGAGTTTCGGTATGGCTCTAGTAGCTTTTCTATTTTCTTCTGTAATACTTTCCGAATTAATGAAATACTCTTCTTTATATGTTCTCGGTACTTTCGGTACTTTACTTAGTATGAGTAATGCTCTTACTTTACATATGCGTCAGTATAAGTGCGTGGGCAGCCTACCACAATGGTGTGGGTTTAATATCCGATTTATCGGTTGCTCTATATCATCTGCGGAGGTGTAGAGTAGTAATTATTAATGTAAGCATGGTGCTTAAATTAGTAAATATCATTATCTAGGAATATATGTTGTGGGATAGTAGAGGTGGGCTACTGATGGTGACAACTCAGTACATGTATTCCTCCACGTTAGTATATATTGCTAAGACAAATTCCTGAGGAGGGTACTCCTCCGTATTTAGCCCGGTTGGATGGTCATGATAGGTTTTCGTAAGAAACTCGGCAACCCGGGGTGGTCTCTTGAAACACCAGAAGGGCACTATTAGGGGGTATTGGCCACATAATTGTATACTAGCAAATGCAGAATAAAGTTGAGTGTATATTAAAAGTATTGGAAATTAATTCTTTCTATCTCGTCTTCTACTTACTTAGAATTATTTATCTGAGGAAATCTATAAGCTTCGCTTCATGTCACTCTACCCTTATATTAAATTAACCCCAGCCTAGACTTTGATAAAGGCAAGTAATATATATATGTGTATATATTAGTGTGATTCTCTCTTTCACAATCTTCCATCGGTATTAAATAAATACGATACCTTGGCATACTTCTGGGTAAAATGCTACAATGGTATATCCGTGTGCTTGCGGATTACTTCTGTAACCATAAATATACTAGGACTATTTCTGCACCATTGCTGGGAATGAATATTTCTGGTAATGTCGTCAAGAAATACCAACAAAGGACCTAGGCCCCTTTGGTGGTTGAATTTACTAATTGATATCCTCACAAAATGCACATGCCATGCCACTTTCCCAAATTTTCATACCCATTTTTCATCCGAGCCCACATGTAAGCATCATCCTCCATTTGAACAAATGAGATGTGGGACCAGGTGATGGATGAGGTTGACTTGTGGGCCCGGATGGTAAATGGACATGAAAATCGGGGAAAATGGCTTTTGGGGCATGTGCATTCTGGGAAGATGGCAAATATGAAATTCTCCCCCTGTTTGGTTGCAAGTTCCATAAAGTGCCATCGTACAAGCGACTTTAACCCAGAAATGCCATCACCGTTAGGGTTTCATCCATCCTACACCGTTAAATGTATTATTCTCATCCTATTGCCCTTAACTGAGGGATGCTAACGAAACCCTAATGACGATGGTATTTTTGAGATAGAGTCGCTTGTATAATGATATTTTATGGAACTTGTATTTGTTGATGGTATTTCTTGGAATTGGATGCTTGTCAATGATATTTCTTGGTTTTTTTTTCTTTATTAGTAATTAGCATATATTGCCTAAGCCTTCTAAACCTAGCTAATGATCAGTGCTTGAGTGAATTTTTATTTGACTTATGACTATGAGACTGCTTTGGTCGAATTGTGGATTATTATCTAGTTGATTTTTAAATGTTTAGAATTCAATTTTGTAGTGTTTGTATGATCCTAGACCACATAGCTTTACTTTAGGATGTTTACAATTTACAAGTTTTAAGTTATGGCAATAAAGGAATAATTTTGAGTTCCTACGATCTACAAATTTAGCATCCAAGCAAATAGGGGCACAATAATCTATAAACTGAGTCATATCAATCAAAATTCCAAAATTATGAATTTTTAGGAGAATTAATGGGTTTTATTGGAAATTTTAAATCCATCCAAATATTATAGTAACCTCCAAAAATTATTAAATCTAAGAAACCATGGAGGAAAAGTGCCAAGATGTGTGGCTAACTGACTCAATTATAATAATTGGAACTTAATTAAATTACATTATGAAAAACTTGCATACACCATGAAGTGTGCTTAGGCGCGTTAAAATGTTTATGGTGTATGTGCGTAAAACAATATACCTCTGCACAGTGTATGAATTGTGATATGTCACTCCCTATTTTGGGTAGAAACTGCGAATGCGACAGGAAAGAAACCTATCAAAGATTCTGTGGTGCCTTGTATGTAGCAGATTTCATAATTATTTAATCTGATCTTTTTATAACACTGTTTATAACACATGCATGATATCTTTGTGGACCATGGGTCTTTGGTGGTTTAGTTTTATTCAAGTAGATTATGTGGATATATACGTTGGATTGCTATAGTTGGACTTGTTGAGTACCTTTCGTGGTAGTATTAACCTAACACTTAGGTGAAGATGAGTTTCTACACAATTAATTGATCAAGAGTTTCATATTTCTACATCAACTAGAAGTTGAAGAGGATAAAGAAGTAGAAGAGCAACAACAAGGTATTGTTAATGATTATTTTGACAAAAGTGGGCTCCGATACAAAATTTTATGTTATGCTACTCTGGTGTGCCCATTTCTTAATAAGTTGGTTTTTGCTGAGTAATAAGCCGTAAATCAGTATTCTACCTTCGAAGTGGAATATGAGTGTCGCTACACATTGCATGATTTTTTTAAAAAAATCTAGCTAAAATTATCTTTAAGAATAAACCTAGATTTTTTTTTTCAATGTGTCTATTTAGCTTTGGGTTCAAAGCGTTCAACTCTACATTATAGCTACAATTTTAGGGTGGGTCTGTCACTGAGATTGGCCTTTCTGTCATGTTGGACTGGGTAGAAGCAAAAAAGAAACACACCCACACTATTACAAAACCCTTCGTAGGTATCGGCTCATAGGTGTCGGTTCATTTAAAACCGGCAATAATGGACCTTTTCCATGTCCATGTGTTGAAACAATATAAAACTAACACCAAGCATAGTGCACCGGTTCTAGAGGAAAAATAGACATCAATACTTACTATAGGTACATCAAAATTGACCGAGCCGAGCGGTGGCCCATCGAGCCGATCAAGCATCCACCCATAAAAACCTTGTCCCCATCCACTCGCACGTCCTTAACCTCTCCCCAACCCTCTCTTTCTCGCACTTTTCTCCCCCTTCTCTGGTTCTCGATCACTTCTCCCCTCCCGTTCCCCCCACCATCTATCCTCCTCCTCTTCTCCGAATGCGAGCCGTGGCCACGATAGGCAGGCGGCTGCGACACCCTCCCCTCTTCCAGATCCGGCGGAAGGGGAGGCAGCAGGTGACGGGTGGCGGTGGTGCCGTCCCCTCCACCCGATCCGGAGGGAGGGGAGACAACAACACTTCCCCTCCGCCAGATCCGTCGGGAGGGGAGGCAGCAGGCGGCGGGCAGCGGCGGCGTCGTCCCCTCTGCTCGATCCAGCGGGAGGGGAGGCGGCGGCGCCCTGCCCTCCGCCCGATCTTGTGGGAGGGGAGACGGGCTTCCCATGAGGAGGCAGTGGCAAGGGCGCGGAAGGTGGAGAGCGCTTGGCAGAGAAGCTCGTTGGCCAGCAGCCTGCACCAGATTTGTGGATGTTTTTGTTGTTGAGTATGGTCAATCGGTGGCGATCTATTTTGATTTGAGGATTTCAATTAAGATTTGGGGCAATGGCAGCAACTCGATGCGTCGACTCGAGTCGAGACGATTTTTCTTTTTTGCTCACATGCTTCTCAAAGGTGCTAGTTGCGAAATCGACACTAATTACTCGGAGTCATCTATGCCATCTTCATGATACCGGTTAGGAAAACCGACACCTATAGGCATTCTCCAACTGCACTTATAATGTGAGCCAGAAACGGTAAGCGGACCTGATCATGGCCTGCTCGCGAATTAACCTTTTCGGTTGGATGCCTCCAATAATATCAATATTAATGAGACATTTATGTCTCTAACCGACGTGGCTATTTTTATAGGCGGCAACGGGCTATGCAATTGTACAAGCGGCTAGTACGAGGGATTGAAGGAAGTTCAGTTTACAAGTTCATTACAACACTATGCAACTAAGCAAGAAAACGTGCCCAATAAATTAATTACTCCAACAGTTCAAGAGTAGAAACGCATAGAACTATCTACAACACAGAGTCCGATCATTGAACCCTCCGCCCTGGGCTACCGGCAACTCTGTCTCTGCAACAAAATTTTGGCGAACTCACACGGTGAACCAACGATGCTGGAGAGCTTGCGCCGCCGTCATCCTCTTCTCCGGGTTACACGTCAGAAGCCCACTCAACACCTCGAACCCAGCCTCCGACAGCTCCGGCAGACCAGCGCGGCCATAGGCCTTCCCCGGAATGGAGAAGAACCGGTGCAGACGGCTGCGCCGCCGTGCCCTCTTTACCGGCTCCGGCACACCGGCGCCAACAGCCACCCTGAGAAAGGAGAAAATCCGGAGCACACGGCTGTGCCTCCGACGTCCGCTCCGCAACGTCTTCGGGATCATACTGTCGTCGTAGCCCCTCCAGCCGGCGATGTCGTCAACGCCAAGAACTTGGATGATGCGGATGAGCATGTCCTCATGGGACATTCCGCGGAACAGCAGCTGGCCTCCGAGGAGCTGCGCCATGATGCAGCCGAGCGCCCACATGTCGATCGTCTCGTCGTAGATCGACGACCTGAGCAAGAGCTCCGGCGCCTTGTACGGCAGCGAGCCGACCGGGTTCGAGTACGGCGGTATGGATTCCTCCATGGCGAAAGCCATCCCGAGGTCGCAGAGCTTCAGCACGCCTCGGCCGTCGACGAGCACGTTGCTCGGCTTGAGGTCCCGGTGCATGAGGCCGAGCACGTGCATCCTCCCGACGGCGGAGAGCAGCTGCCGCATCAGGTGCCGCACCTCGCTCTCGGGGTACCGCCTCGCGCCGGCATCAGTGCCGCGCTGACAGATGGTATCGAGCAGCGAGGGCCCCACGAGCTCCATGACGATGTAGGCATCCGCCCCGGTGCCGACGACGGGACCGTCGTGGCGGGGGCGGCGGCCATGGTCGATCAGCTGCACGATGTGCGGGTGACCCCGGCACGCCTCGAGGGCGCGGACCTCGTCGGTGACGTCCGATTCGAGCACGATCCCGTAGGGGTCGTTGAACGCCCTAAAGAGGCACTTCACCGCGACGATCTCGCCGGTGCGGTTGTCCACCGCCCGGTACACGCGGCCGAAAGAACCGGAACCTATGACGGCGAGCCGCTGGTACCGGCCGCCGATGGGATCGCCGAAAGACTGCGGTTTGGCGGCCCCGTCGCTGTCGCTGGATGTGCCCGTGTCGTCGTCGTCGTCGTCGTCCGCTGGGGCAACGGCGACTGGGCGCGGTCGCGCTGCCCTTTTTACGATCGCCATGGCCAGAAGCTCGAGTGAGCGCGCGCCTTTCTTCAAAACGTTTGCCATGTAATACGTGCGGTCTGCCGTTGTATGCATTACACTTATAAGGAGGTCAGCGGAGTGCGCGGGAAGTTGATTAATCCAACTCGGATTTGGTGGTGGCGTACAATGATTTGGGCATCAAGTGTAACCTATTCGGATTAGTGAACTTATTTGGATTATTGATGATTTAGTTTATACCTGTAAGTTTTCGAACATCAAAGATGTGTTGTCAACCGTCAAGAGACACGGACTGGATAAACAAAAAAGGGTTAACTACAGAAAACCACATGTTTGCAGATTTGAAATAAAAACTTGTTTTTCAGAAGATTTTTTTCATATCATCTTTTACTTGTAATTTTATTTTAAAACCACATGTTTGTAAATTTTAAAAACAAATACTAACAAAACATGTGTTTTTTAAAAGATTTTTACTGAAATTGTTTTCTAAAAGAAATTTAGGAGAGAGCAAGTAGCCAAGTACATGGAAAGGGAAAAACCCATAAAAAGATGTAAATTTATACTAGTTATTAAGCTAAATATTACTCCCTCCGGGTTTTGGCCACATTGTGCCATTCCCAATAAGTGGTTTCACTGGAATGCCACTCCGCCGAATTGATTCGCTAAAAAACCATCCCCAAGCGTTGCCAACCCGCTGCAGTGCCATATTCACCATTTCATTGGATTTTCACGTTTTTTCCCAGATGAGCTGACTGAAATGCCCTTGCGGTCGGTTTAACCGAGTCGAGATGGTGCGGTGCAGCCCATTGATCCTCCCGTCCTCGCCGCGTCGCAGTTCTTGCCGACGGAGGCCGCCGCTCTGCTGAAGCGCCGTCACCGTCGCCAGCGAGTTCTTCTCAAGCCATCGTTGTCGCTGTGGTGGTTTCCTTTCCACCTCCGCGCGTATGGCCGAAGCCCGCCGTTCCCAACTCGGAGGAAATCCTAACCCTAGGCCATGCAGCGAAGATTTGGAGTGGCAAGTGAAGAAGGTAGCTCCTCCTTACCTGGTCTCATTGGGGAAACTCAGTTTCCTATAGGTCCTAGTGGCCTCCCCCTTGTCCGTTGCCCTCGTTGTTGCCCTCGTTGTGGTAGTACAGTAGTGGAGTGCATATCTTGGACGTAGGGGGACGCGTTTTCTTCAAATGCGAGGATAACGAAAAATATTTTAGAATGAGATTAAAAGAATATTTTAGATTATATGCATGTTGTCATATGAATAATCCAATTATTTTAGATAAAGCAAACATCGTAAGGTTGCCATCATCAAGGTTGGGCCATTACATTTAAGATGTTGCAATTTTTTGATTTTCTGATTGTCATCGACATGGTTATACATGAAAAATATATATTATCATTACATATTTTCACCCGTTGCAACGCACGGGTATGTTTGCTAGTAATATAAAATTTATACTATAAAGTACTTCCTCCGTTTAACAATGTAAGTCATTTTAGCATTTCCCACATTTATATTGATACTAATGAATCTAGATTATAAATATAAATATGGGAAATGCTAGAATGACTTACATTGTGAAACGGATGGAGTATATGAATATGTGTATATATACGTATACGTATAGAAATACTAGAGGGGGTGTGTCTGGTCGCGCGCCCGCGCGAGGCGGGACTTGGCGCGGATCAGGGCCCCCACCCCCACCTCGACTACGAGATCGATCGTGTCAGTCCAGCTAAACCGAAACTGGATGCAGAATCTGATACAGAGGTAGTCTCCCACACACGATCGGAGCGAAATATAAACACCCCTGTCACGTCCACGCACGTGGGCAAATAACCACCTTCCCGTATATATATACTCGGCCACCCCAATGCATCGTGCCGTCTGCACTACGTCCGTACTCGGCGTCGATCCAGCGATGGCGGCGGCGGCGGATTCCGGCTACAGGCGGCTACTGCCCTGCGCCTGCGCCGGCGCCGCAACGGAGGAGCCGGAGGAGGAGGAGCAGCAGTTGCCGAACGTGTCGCCGTCATCGCGGCCGACTTGCAAGGCGCGGCTGTTCGAGCTGTACGGGATGAACGTCGTCGGCGTCGAGTCCATGACGGGGCGGTTCGAGCTCACCGGGCTGACCGGCGTCGGCGTCTTCGGCGCGGTGTACAAGGCGTGGGACAACTGCTGCGGCACCGTCGTCGCCGTCAAGCGGCTCAGCGGCCGCGGTCGCCGCGGCCGCCACGGCGGCGGCGGAGACGAACCCTACAGCCTCGTCCACACGGGCGTTCGGGATCTCGCGCGGGAGGCGATGAGCCTCTACGCGTGCCGCGGGAAGCGCGGCGTGGCGCACCTGCGGCCCAACGGCGCGTACGCCGAGGTCAGCGGCTCCTGCGATTCCTTCCTCGTGATGGACTACGCCGGCGGGTTCAATCTGAAGGATCTCATGAAGCGCCGCCGCAAGGAGCCCGGCGGCGGGAGGCCGTTCTCCGAGAACGAGGTGCGCCGGATCATGCGGCGGCTGCTGGTCGGGGTGAACGCCATCGTCGAGGCCGGCCTCCTTCACCGTGACATACGGCCGGAGAACGTGGTCGTCGACGACGGCACCGAGGATCTCAAACAGAAGCCGACGGCGGCGGCGACCACTGGGAAGAAGAAGGCGCAAAGCAAGAAGAGGAAGATGAAGTACACGATCTGCGACCTTGGGATGTCCGTGCCGGCGGTGGACTCGCCGGGCTACTCGCCGGACGGCGTCCTCACGTCGATCTACAACGCGCCGGAGATCCTCCTCGGGTCACGCCAGTACGACAGCCGCGTCGACACGTGGGGGCTCGGCTGCATCATGGCCGAGCTGCTCGACGGGCCCGGCGAGCCGCTGTTCGACGGCGAGACCAACCTGGCCATCATGGGCAGCGTGCTCCGGGTCATCGGCGCCGAGGGCGTCAAGTCGTGGCCGGGGCTCAAGCGGCTCGCCGACGAGCCGCAGGCGCTGGTGCGGCGTTTCCGGGACTCCAGCCGCCTCCGGGAAAAGTTCCCCGGCGCCAGGGAGGCCCGCGTGGCGAGGCGGCCGGCGCTGTCGCAGGCCGGCTTCGACGTCCTCAGCGGGCTGCTCGAGGGTAACCCGGAGAAGAGGCTCACGGCGATAGCCGCGCTCCACATGCCGTGGTTCGAGGGCTCCGGCGGCCTCCGCCGGGTGATCGGCAGCTGCGCCGGCACGTCCTTCTAGTTCTAATAGATTAGATTTAGTAAGGTTTAGAGTAGTTATCTACTTATCTTACCTGCCGTCTAAAAAAACTTGTTTTAGTTCGTATGAGTAATCTGATTAATTTATAATTATGTACAACTCGAAAAATAGTTTTTTTTATAATTGTGGAGATTATGGATATCCCATATCTATACGGCGATGATATTTGGATTGAATATAGGATACCGAGTATAGATAGAATATCTTATGTGTATCCTGGGTTTGTTTCCTAACTTGTATATCAAGGAAACACCTTGAGACTTAGTCGGTCACGACTGTATTCAGTTAGGGACATAGATTATCTTTTGTAATCCGGACTCCTTCCTATATATAAGGGGGGTCCGGGTGCCTTTAGGGGCAGATGTTGATTTTCTCTAAATCATACAATCAATAATACACTCGGCGGATTCATCCCCGGACAGGAGTAGGGTATTACTTCTTTTATAAGAAGGCCTGAACCTGTATAAATCCTTTGTCTCCAAACCCATACACTTTTCCAGCTTGATAGCCACCCCCTTTTATTATTGCCGAAATCTAGTTTCGACAGTTGGCGCGCCAGGTAGGGGCCGCGTCAAGCTTTTCGCCGATCAGTGCAATGGGTTCCACCTCCGGCATCGACGACCTCGTCTTCCCGCCCAGGCAGACGTTTCGGTTCGGCAGCCTCGACTTCGTCACCAACAACTTCGGCAAGATTTCTCTCCTCGACTCGGAATCAGACCAGTCGGGAGAGAACCGGATTTCGGTCCCGTTTGGATTCCCGAACGCGGCTGAAAGCTACTTCAAGACCATCTCAACCGAGTCGGCTTCAAACCACCCGGCCGAGATCGCATCTTCTCTAACGACACCAGATCAAGATGATGGGGCTTACCCACCAGTCCTGATGAAGCTCCCCGACGATTTAGCGGCCGTCTCCACCACGACAGCGGCTTCATCCCGTAGGCCTAGGCGGAAGTCGGCTTCAACACCGATTTCGCCTAGCTTCAGGGAAGTCGGCGTCATCCTCCAACCACTCGGCACGGTTTCGACGGATCAGCTGGATGACTACAACAGCTCTCCCACCGTCGACTCACATCCTACTGATATCGTGGAGTACGACGAATTTAGTTCTCGCTACAACGACTTCGACGACTTCGACGGAAGCCTAGATGACAACTACACCCCTCTCTACTTTGGCGTTTTCATGGCCAATAATGAGACGGAGGAGCAACGCCAAGCCCGGGAGACCGAAGAACGTCGCCGACTGGAGGAGGAGCATCAAGCACAAGAACAAGAACGGCTACGGCGTGAGCAGCAGGACCGTGAGCAGACCGCGAAGGAGGCTGAGGATCGACGTCAGCGAGCTTTGGAAGCAGGGCGCCGAGCGCGTGATCTCATCGGCCAGCAAGATGTCGAAGGGACACCGGTTTTCCGCACCCCTCAACAGAATGCGGTTGCCGCGATCACCCTTCTCGACATCCTCCTCAACCAAAACGAGCTCAATCGATCCGACCACGTCGTCAACATCTTGAACCAGACGAAGACCATGATTGCGGCTTCGGTCCCAGTTAACTCCGAAAGCGTCCACACACCGACTGGCAGCCGAGTTCCCCACTTCCGATCTCATGACTACCGTCATCCAAGCCTCAGCATCACCGGCGCAGGATCCAACCGCAGGAGCAGGGGTCACGACGAGCGGTCTGTTCACTCACCTCCCGACCTTCATAGGGAGCGCCGAGTGGAACGGCCTCGCTCACCACCTCGTCGCCGCCCCATCGATCTTCGCGACACAATCATACAGCGCCGAGCAGCTCGAGGCTACCATCACTCGCCGGACCGCCACGACGACGACCTTGACGGAGTAGCAGCCTTCACCGACGACCTGCGTCGAGTGGATTGGCCAGCCGGCTTCAAACCGACTGGAATAGAGAAGTATGACGGCACCACTAACCCCGAATCGTGGCTTACCGTCTACGGTCTCGCAATCCGCGCAGCAGGAGGAGACAACAAGGCCATGGCGAACTATTTACCAGTGGCTTTAGCGGATTCCGCCCGATCTTGGCTCCATGGATTGCCCCGTGGTACAATTGGATCTTGGGCCGAACTACGCGACCACTTCATCGCCAACTTCCAAGGCACCTTCGAGCGTCCCGGCACACAATATGATCTCTACAACGTCATTCAGAAGTCCGGAGAATCCCTTCGAGATTACATCCGGCGATTTTCTGAACAACGTAACAAGATCTCCGACATTACCGACGACGTCATCATCGCCGCGTTCACCAAAGGGATTCGCCACGAAGAACTAGTCGGCAAGTTTGGGCGTAAGCCTCCCAGGACAGTCAAGCTCATGTTTGAAAAAGCCAACGAGTATGCCAAAGCTGAAGACGCCGTCACCGCATCAAAGCAGTCGGGTCCCAGTTGGAAGCAAAACAAGGGTACGCCGGCTACGGGAGGAGGTGGAAGTAACAATCATAAGGACCGCAAGCGTAAGCCTGCGGAACTTGTTGCAACCGCCAGTCACTCTTCCCGACAGCGTTCGCGCGTCAACACGTTCGATAAGATCATGAACTCCCAATGCCCGCACCATCCTAACTCCAACCACATGGCCAAAGATTGTTTCGTCTATAAGCAATTCGCGGATCAATACACCAAGACTGCACGGAAGAACTCCGACGAAGAACAAAGCACGTCGAGGAAGAAGGACGACGGCGACGCCCCGGCAGGATTTCAAGACCACCGCAAGGAGCTCAACCATATCTTCGGCGGCCCCTTGGCTTATGAGTCTAAACGGAAGCAAAAGTTGACTGAACGGGAGATCAATGCTGTTCAGCCCGACACGCCCCAATATCTTCGATGGTCAGAGATTGCAATCAAGTTTGACCGCTCGGATCATCCTGACCGAGTGGTCCACCCGGGGCGGTACCCCCTGGTACTAGACCCAGTGGTCCGTAATGTCAAGCTTCGCAGAACCCTCATCGACGGTGGCAGTGCACTCAATATCCTCTTCGCCAAGACCTTGGATGATATGCAGATTCCTCGCTCCGAGCTAAAACCAAGCAATGCGCCTTTTCATGGAGTAATTCCAGGACTATCCGCAACTCCACTCGGCCAGATCACCCTCCCGGTCACTTTTGGTACTCGGGAAAACTTTCGCACAGAGAACATCAGCTTCGAAGTCGCCGATTTCGAGACAGCATACCATGCCATACTTGGACGCCCGGCGTTAGCCAAGTTCATGGCCGTCCCGCACTACACTTACATGATGATGAAGATGCTTGGTCCCCGAGGAGTCCTATCCCTACGGAGTGACATCAAGCAAGCCGTCACATGCGACAAGGAGAGTTGCGACATGGCTCAAACCCGCGAGATGGCGTCCGCCCGAGAGGATATCCGACTGGCTGCAGCCACGGCGAGCGAAGGAGAAGTGCCCGCTACCAAGATTTCAAAGAGTGGGGAAAGCGAAGCCAAGACTAAGAAGATTCCCCTAGATCCCTCTGATCCTACTAAAACTGCTGTAATAGGCGCCGAGTTAGATTGTAAATAGGAAAGCGCGCTCATCACCTTTCTTTAGAACAATAAAGATATCTTTGCGTGGAAACCATCTGATATGCCCGGTATTCCTAGAGAGGTGATTGAGCACTCCTTACACGTCAAAGAAGATGCCAAGCCTATCAAACAACGACTCCGCCGATTCGCACAAGACAGGAAGGACGCGATCAAGGAGGAATTAACCAAGCTGTTAGCAGCAGGCTTCATCAAAGAAGTCCTTCATCCCGACTGGCTGGCAAACCCAGTTCTAGTTCGGAAGAAAACAGGGCAATGGCGCATGTGTGTTGATTATACCGACCTCAACAAGTCTTGTCCCAAAGATCCTTTTGGGTTGCCTCGCATTGACCAGGTAGTTGACTCAACCGCCGGCTGTGAGCTTCTCAGTTTTCTGGATTGCTACTCGGGGTATCATCAGATCCGACTGAAGGAATCCGACTGCTTGAAGACTTCATTCATCACGCCCTTTGGAGCTTATTGCTATGTCACCATGCCGTTCGGACTAAAAAACGCAGGAGCAACTTATCAACGTATGATCCAAAGATGCTTCTCAACGCAGATCGGCCGCAACGTTGAAGCCTATGTGGATGATGTAGTCGTCAAGACCAAGCAAAAGGATGATTTGATCTCGGATCTAGAAGAAACCTTCGTGAGCATCCGTGCTTTCAGGATGAAATTGAACCCTGAAAAGTGCACCTTCGGAGTACCGTCAGGGAAGCTGCTTGGCTTTATGGTGTCTCATAGGGGCATCCAAGCCAACCCGGAGAAAGTTACTGCTATCCTCAACATGAAACCGCCAAGTACCCAGAAAGATGTTCAGAAGCTGACTGGATGCATGGCGGCGCTCAGCCGATTTGTTTCAAGACTTGGCGAGCGGGGGATGCCCTTCTTTAAGCTGCTGAAGAAAACAGATAACTTCCAGTGGGGACCCGAAGCACAGAAGGCCTTCGAAGATTTCAAGAAACTTCTCACCGAGCCACCAGTCTTAGCCTCACCACACCCGCAGGAGCCGTTGTTGCTGTACGTATCAGCTACCTCCCAGGTTGTGAGCACAGTCTTGGTCGTTGAGCGCGAGGAAGAAGGCCATGTCCAAAAAGTCCAGCGACCGATTTATTTTGTCAGCGAGGTCCTAGCCGATTCCAAAACGAGGTACCCTCAGGTTCAGAAGCTGTTATATGGTATTCTAATTACTACCAGGAAGCTATCTCACTACTTTCAAGGTCACTCGGTAACGGTGGTCACATCATTTCCACTCGGTGATATACTGCACAACCGCGAAGCAAACGGACGTATTGCTAAGTGGGCTTTGGAGTTGATGTCTTTGGACATATCATTTAAGCCCCGAATTTCAATCAAGTCCCAAGCGTTAGCTGATTTTGTCGCCGAATGGACCGAGTGCCAGGAGGATACCCCCGCGGAGAACATGGAGCACTGGACCATGCATTTTGACGGATCCA